CATCCATCCATCCATCCATCCATCCATCCATCCATCCATCCATCCATCCATCCATCCATCCATCCATCCATCCATCCATCCATCCATCCATCCATCCATCCATCCATCCATCCATCCATCCATCCATCCATCCATCCATCCATCCATCCATCCATCCATCCATCCATCCATCCATCCATCCATCCATCATCTTCTGCTTATTTCAGTTTTGTGGGGCAGCAACTTGAGCAGGAATGACCAGACATCTCTTTCCACAGCCACCTCTTCCAATTCTTCTGGGAGGACTCCAAGGCGTTCCCAGGACAACCGAGAGATGTAGTCTCTCCAGCTTGCTGGGTCTTCCCCGGGGTCTCCTCCCAGTCGGACATGCCTGAAGCACCTGAGGCGCTCAGGGAGCATCCTTACCAGGAGTGAGACAACCCTTCAATTAAACCAAATGGTTTTGGTTGCCAACCTCTCAGACAAAAAAAGAGAGCATGAAAAAGAGATGAGGGAGTTTAGGGAAGTGTGTTAAAGTGGGTGTGTAGAGTTTCCATCTCAATGCTTTATTCATGACAGCGTAGAGTTACAGCTAGTATAAATGCACACTGACTGACACAAATTCTCCAGTAACTCAAAAACAAACTAATTTCCTCTGGAGACAAACCTAAAAATCAAACAGAGATCTTGAGATGTGAAAATGGGAAAAAGATTTTAGAAATACATACGTATAATTAGCCATTTCCCTGTCAGGTCTTGAAATAAATTAATATATTTTTAAACCTCCTCTAGTTGAAAAGACTTGTTTATAATTGTACATTATTATAAAATGTAATATTCAAACTTCATGCAAAGCCTCATGCAGAAAGAAAACGAACAATGAGAAAGACCAATTCTGTTACCAGTCAGGATGAAAAGTTGAATTTTGTAGCTTCACAAGAAAATGGAGTTTGTCTGCTTTCAGCGCACACTGTTAGCCTGTTGTTATTTTTCCAGGTACCGTATTTTTCAGACTATAAGGCGCACCTGATTATAAGGCACAATATCAACAAATGGATCTGTT